CACCTGCCCCCCGACTCACCTGGAAGCGGGCCTGGGGCACCTCTTAACTCCAGGCTGAAACCAAAGGGCAGGGGTGAGGAGGTCGGTCCCACATCTGGCCCACTTTCATCTTGAGAGACGCCCCCAACCGGGGCGGAACTCCCAGGGATGGATCAAGCAAGGCACCGGGCCCTTTGCACCATGACCCCAAAGATGGCCGTGGGTGGCCGGCCACCTTGCCCCCCCCCCCTGTGTCTCCCTGTCCCTGCAGCTCCTGACCATCGCAGGCTGGGACGTTTCTACAAGGCGTTCGAGTCCCACACAGGAACACACGACAGAAGCCGCACCCAAAGAGGGATGCTCGGAAACATTTCCAAAAGGGAGAGCTTGCCACCATCTTGAACTCTCACAGGCCATCCCCAAGTTGCAAACATCTGGCTGAGAAACAACTCCTAGTTAAGAACGGGGCTGGACTGGATGGCCTTTGGGGGTCCCTTCCAAATCTACAATACTATATCTCATATCTATCTGTATCTATAATAATACTCATAATATAATATAATATATATTATTAGTATTCTATTATGTATGTTATATATATATATATATACACACACACACATATATATATACACATACACACATACATACACACACACACACATAGGCCATCTCACACCAGAAGCGACTTGCACATTTCCAAAAGGGAGAGCTTGCCACCATCTTGAACTCTCACAGGCCATCCCCAAGTTGCAAACATCTGGCTGAGAAACAACTCCTAGTTAAGAACGGGGCTGGACTGGATGGCCTTTGGGGGTCCCTTCCAAATCTACGATACTATATGTATCTCATATCTATCTGTATCTATCTATATGTATATAATAATAATACTAATAATATATAATATAATATAATGTAATATAATATAATATATATTATTAGTATTATTCTATTATTATGGTATATATAATATAATATAATATAATATAATATATGTTATTAGTATTATTCTGTTATTATGATATATATATATATATACACACACACACACACACACACACACACACACACACACACAGGCCATCTCACACCAGAAGTGACTTGCACTTTCTCAGGTCGCTCCTGACACGACAAAAAAAAAAAAAAAAAACCCAAGGTACAAACTGACTTGCAAATTACTCCTAGTTAAGAATGGGGTTTGACTGGATGGCCTTTGGGGGTCCCTTCCAATCTATGATACTATATCTATATCATATCTATCTATATGTATATATAATAATATAATAATACTAATAATATATAATATAATACTAATATATATATATATATTAGTATTATTCTATTATTCTTTTTATATATATATATATATATATATATATATATATATATATATACACATACACACACACACACACACACACACATGCACGCACACGCACACACACATACATACATACAGGCCATCCCCAAGGTACAAACTGACTTGCAAATTACTCCTAGTTAAGAACAGGGCTGAACTGGATGGCCTTTGGGAGTCCCTTCCAATCAACGATACTATATCTATATCATATCTATCTATATATCTATTTGTATATATATAACAGTATAATATATAACAATAGATAGATGGATAGATAGATAGACAGACAGACTGATAGAGGCCCATCCCCAAGTTGCAAACATCTGGCTGAGAAACAACTCCTAGTTAAGAAGGGGGCTGGACTAGATGGCCTTTGGGGGTCCCTTCCAATCTACAATACTCTCTATCTCATGTCTATCTGTATCTATATATTTAGATAGATACATAGATACATATAATAATATACTAATACTAATAATATATATACACACACACATTATTAGTATTATTCTAATATATATATATATATACACACACACACACACGCGCGCGCACAAACACTGTGGCTGAGAAACAACTCCTAGTTAAGAATGGGGGATGGACTAGATGGCCTTTGGGGCTCCCTTCCAAATCTAAAATACTATATCTATCTCATATCTATCTATATTTATATATCTATGTGTGTATTATATTATATTATATTATATTATATTATATTATATTATATTATATTATATTATATTATATTATATTATATTATATTATATTATATTATATTATATATACACACACAGCACTTTGGATGAGTGAAGGTTTGATAAGCAAGACTCTACTGTATATAAATCCCCGAGTTACAAACACCTGACTTTCAGTAAGAACGAGGTTGGACTGGATGGCCTTATGGGAGTCCCTTCCAAATCTATGATACTATATCTATATCATATCTATGTATATCTATATCTATACACATAGGCCATCCCTGGGTTGGACTGGATGACATTTGGGGTCCCTTCCAAATCTATGATACTCTATCTATCTACACACACACATACATGCAGCCCCCAAGTTACAAACAAACAACTTGCAAACGATTCCTAGTTAAGAACGGGGTGGGACCACAGGAAGTGAGAGGAATGACGAAAAGGGAGCGGCTGTGAGCCCCAACAACAGAGCGGGAGGTGACAACGTTAGTCCAATGAGGCCACGCGCAATGCCCTGAAGAGCATTACCTGACGTGTGGAGCCGTGCGCGGAGGGAACTCGACCGGCCTGTCCGCGGGGAAGACTGGGAACGGATGCAGGGCTGCGCGGCGGGGGACGAGGGATCCGCCTGCGGAATGGGAAGGAATAGGGAGGGAGTCGGACCAGCGCCAGAGCTGATGGGAGAACCCAAGAGGCCGAAGGAGGCCGAAGGAGCCCCACTGCATGGCCAAAGAGGGTTTAAAATGGGGGGCAAGAGGCTGGGAACAATCCTTTCGGGATTTCAGCCTCCCAATCTCTTGCATTCAGACACGTTGGGGACATGGCCCAGGATACGCGGGTGACCTACCTCCAAGTGTTCCTGGCTGGTCCAAGAGCCCAGCTCCGTCCTCCGGGACCCAGGGCCCAGCTCCACCGAGCGAACCCTCTCCGCAAACTTCAGCGAGCAGAGTGTCTCACTCGTGTTCTTCTCGACCGGAGAAACCTGAGGAAAGAGGGACATTAATGGTGCATTCGGGGTCACTTGTCACAGGATTTGCTGGTGCATGAATTGCTTTATAGTTTCCAAATCACGTACTCAGTGCCATAGCAAGGTCTAAAACCAGACTGTGATGGATCTAGATAGTGTCATCCAGGAATCCCTGAAGTTGGAAGGCAACCACCCGCTCTAGAACCTTGCCCAAGAAAGGGAGGTTAGAAATTGGCTGGTAGTTATTTAGGACCGAGGAATCTAGGGATGCCTTTTTGAGTAATGGTCTCACAATTGCACTTTTCAGGCTAGATGGAATATGTCCCTGTTCCAATGAGGCATTTATAATCTTTGAGATCCACTCAGCCAACCCCCCCCCCTTCCCCACTGGCAAGCTTGATTAGCCAGGAAGGGCAATGATCCAGGGCACAGGTGGTTGCTCTCACCGCTCCAAGAATCCTGTCCACGTCATCAGTCTGAACAGATTGAAACAAATCCATCAAAACCGGACAGACAGGTACCTCGGTTACATCCATGGACACTGCATGAAAACCGGCGTCTAATTCGGAACGTAGTTGAGCGACTTTATCTGCATAATGTTGTGCGAACTCGCCATATCAAGTTGCCAGGTGGTCAGGGTTCTCCCCGCCCTGGTCGGGGTGAAGGAGGTCCCTAACCACCCAAAGCAACTCTGCAGGTCTATTAGATGCAGACACAATGCGGGCAGTCGAGAAAGTCTTTCTGGCTACCTTTACTGCTGTGGAGTAGGCTTTAAGAGAGGCTCTAGCCCATGTTAGGTCAGCTGCCTTTCGAGTTTTCTGCCAGTGGCGCTCTAGCCTCCGTCTCACCTGCTTCATCGCTGCCAGCTCCCCAGTAAACCAGGGGAGGGGAGCAAGAGTGGACGTTCGGGGGCGATTGTGTCCACCGCCCTGGCTACCTCCCGGTTGTAGAGGTCAACCAGGGCATCGACAGAATCATCAGCCACCATGGCAGGAAAATCCACAAGAGACATCAGGAATCCTTCTGGATCCATAAGCCTCCTGGGGCAGACCATCTTAATGGGTCCACCGCCCCTGCAGAGGTTCTAGGTTGCAGTAAGCCTAAGGCTGATCAGGTAATGGTCAGTCCATGACAATGGAAGAATTTTTAGCTCTTCCACACTGACGTTACCCCCGTCCGCAGTAAAGACCAGATCCAGAATGTGACCATTTACATGAGTGGGACCTGATACCACTTCATGGCAACCATGAAGTCTTGAGCTGCACCAGACAGGGTGGACTCTGCATGGACATTGAAGTCCCCCAGCACTATTAGCCGCTGGGACTCCAATGCCAAGTCAGATACCACCACTGCAAGCTCTGGCAGGGAGACTGCTGTGCAGCGGGGTGGACAGTACACCAGCAGAATCCCCAAGCTGTCCCAGTTACCCACTTTCAGCTGAACACTCTCAAACCCAGAACATTGCATCAAGGGGCACCTGACCAAAGAGAAGGGTTCACAGAAGACCACCGCAAACCCTCCTCCCCATCCCCCAGGTCTGGCCTGCTGATGCACCCCAAAACCTAGAGGACAGAGCATGGTGAGGTTGATCCCTCCCACCCCAGCTCATCCAACCAGGACTCAGTGATGCATGCTAGGTCCGCTTGTTCATCCAGGATCAAATCCTGGACGGCTGCTGTTTTACCATTTACAGACCTAGCATTTAGAAGAAGGACCTTGAGCCCGAGGGGACTGTCATGGTGGCACTCCGACGTATCTCGCCCCAGGGTTACAAATGTTCTGCTGCGCTTCTCTTTGCGAAAGTATCTACATCTCCCCAGAATGACTTCGATAGTGGATCCCCGCTCCCGGGACAACCCTCCCACAGGGAGATCATCCAATGGACTTAGAGGGGTACGTAGTCAGCTGTCAGCATTCAATTGGGTGGAGGGCGTTATCCACAGGGAGCAGCTTCCTGTATGGACAGACTGGTGGAAACTCTTGAGACCAGGGAGGACTGGTCTAGGGGCAGGGCTTGGGGCTCTAATTAGTTAAATTTTAATACAGCGGGTTGGGCTAGGGGCAGGTTTGGGGCTCTAGTAGGGGTAAATGGCGCCCTTTTTGGCATCAGCAGGCCCAATACACCCGGAAACAGGATTAACCTTGGAGGCACCGACATGTGTCTTGGCTAGCGTAGCAGTCATAGTAATATCAATAATAATACTGAGAATAATAATGATAAGGACGCACCTGGACCATCATGAGGGTCTTGCTGTCCCCGGAGAGGGAGTCCTGAAGCAGGTAGGTGAGCTTGGAGTTGCGGAAGGGGACGTGTCCCTGGCGGGAGCGCAGGGCAGAGATGACATCTCCCAGCGCCGAGAGGGACTTGTTGATGTACTGCGCCTCCCGCAGCCGGCTGCCCTCCGCCCCCGAGCGCCCCACCCGCTCAGAGCCCGCCAGGTCCACCAGGTTCAGTTTCCCTGCAGAGGAACGGATGGGGGAAGGAAACGGGGGTCAGCATCGAGGAGGAGGAGGAGGACAACGACAATGATGACAGGGAGAAGGCATAGCCCTCCAAACAACAATAATTGCATCCAACCCAAGTAGTTGAGGAAGAGGCCTTCGTCCATATTCACCCATGGCTCCGAGAAGCGCTTGGTTTTTGCCTGGCTGCTATTATTATTATTATTATTATTATTATTATTATTATTATTATTATTATTATTATTATTTCCAGCCCCAGTGGCTAAGGAAGGGACCCTCCTCCATAGCCATCCATTGCTCTGAGAAGTGGATTGTGCATGGCAAAAGTATTATTATCATTGTTATTATTGTTTTTAATGTGTTTTGAAATGTATAATGTAGATTTCAAAGTATTTTTGTATGTTTAAAAATGCAATGCTATGTGCCAAGTGTAATTCCTATGTGGAAAGGATTACCTGAACCATGAAGGGAATCGGCATTTCTAGAGAGGACAAATCTTAGTGTATAGAGAGCAATGGACGCAGCGCAGTGCGTCGTAAGTCATACGTCACTCTGGAATGCAGGAGGTGTGGACTAATACTGATAACAGCATGTTCTGTGTTCGCGATGTAGCTGCCGGATGGAGAGGTAACGGTTTTACAATGTGCTACTGTGTATAGCTGTAAATAAAATAGATTTTAGTCTAAAGGTTGCTGTGATGATCGTGTTCTTTGCCTTGCTGTGCAGAGATACCACTGACAATTATTACTATTATTATTACGATTACTATTACTATTACTACTATTACTACTATTATTATTATTATTATATCATCCAGTCCCAGGAGTGAATTTCACTTCCTTTTGAGGGGGAGATTTTGCTCATTTATTGACCTCTGAGCATCCGCTCAAACGCATAAAAGTAAATAATGAAGCGTGCTACCTCAGTCGGCTCCAAAGCCCAGAGCAGCACTGAACTTTTTATTGCAATTACTAAAAACTACAAACTATTTACAAGAGCAGAATAAAGCACATCCGTTGGCTAGCTGTACATCCGTGGAAGCTCAACCCTGATTCTCTGGAATGTAAACACATTACTGTAAACACTCACATGTGATGCTCTAGGAATCAAGCACAGCTCTATGCATTTAAATCTCACACTGCATTGCTATACCGCACACACTTTAAACTACAAACAATATTTCATTACATTTAAACCAATGTTCTGACAGATTCTTCTCACTTCCTGTTATCTCAGCCCTGTTCTTAACTGCGAGTCGTTTGCAAGTCGGATGTTTGTAACTCAAGGACTGCCCGTGCTGTGATTTTTTTAAGTGTATGCCAAGAAAGGCGGCTGTTGATTCGTGTTGCCTACAATCTCAAAATGCACCGATCTATGGGAAGGAGGCCATTACCTGTGGTGCGTATGCCGGTGCTGTAGTCCACGCCGCGCACGGTGATGATGAGGAGGGCGTGGGAGCGGGAGCTGTGCTCGTTCAGGTGGGTGCTCTCCGTCGCCCGGTTCAGGTGCCCGAACTCAAAGACCTGGGAGAGAAAGGCAGGGCACACACCGCTTTCACTCAATGTCCCCCCAAATGCCTTGTCAGTATCTCAATGCAGCAGGGAGGAAGGAATGTCTCAGTCAACACCCTAAGTCCCTTTGGTTACGCCAAATGTGCACTGACAAATGGCATATCACAAAGCAGTCTACTGTGGGTTCTCTCAGACTGAAGCCTGTCATATACTGAGGCGAACTAACACTGAGGCCTACTCATACTGAGGCCTGCTAACACACTGAGGCCTTTCTCACTCTGTGGGTTCTCTCACACTGAATCCTGTCATTTACTGAGGTGAACTAACACTGAGGCCTACTCATACTGAGGCCTACTAACACGCTGAGGCCTTCTCACACTGTGGGTTCTCTCAGACTGAAGCCTAAAATATACTGAGGTGAACTAACACTGAGGCCTACTCATACTGAGGCCTGCTAACACACTGCAAAACTAGAGCAAGAAAATGTCCCTCCCACAAAGACAGTTAATAAACTTTTTCTATGTTTTTAATGATACAACCAATTAGAAAATGCTTTTATGACCTAGGAACAAAAATCATAGTGTTACATAGTGTGTAAATGCCTGGTGGTCTCAGCACTACTTCTGTGTTCAACTGTGGGAATCCTTTGAAATAACACCATAGCTTCTTCTTCTTACTTTGTTGATGTCTTCAACGCATTGCACTGGGAACTCGGTCAAGCCTGGGACGTAGAGCTGACCGCTGCCGTCTGGACAGAGCTTGATGTCCAGCTTCTCCTGAGGCTCCTTCCCAAGCAGGTCTCTGCAAAAGGGGAAAGGGGAGCAAAGGGATAAGGAAAAGGCAGCTGCCAAAAGAGGAAACACACCCTGGCCAGGCCCGAAGGGACTCGTCTAGAGCACAGGTGCACAATGGGGCCCTAACACCGTATGTGCTTATTTGTATATGTTAAAAGCTGAGCAAGAAGAAAAAGAAGAAGAGGAGGAGGAGGAGGAGGAGGTAAAGGAGGAGGTGGAAGAGGTTGAGGAGGAGGAGGAGGTGGTGGAGGAGTTGGAGGAGGAGGTGGAGGAGGAGGTGGAGGAGGAGGAGGAGGTGAAGGTGGAGGAGGTGGTGGTGGAGGAGGTGGTGGTGGAGGAGTTGGAGGAGGAGGTGGAGGAGGAGGAGGAGGTGAAGGTGGAGGAGGAGGTGGAGGAGGTTGAGGAGGAGGTGGTGGTGGAGGAGGTGGTGGTGGAGAAGTTGGAGGAGGAGGTGAAGGTGGAGGAGGAGGAGGAGGTGGTGGTGGAGGAAGAGGAGGAGGAGGAAGTGGGAAGAGGAGGAGAGGTGGAGGAGGAGGTGAAGGTGGAGGAGGAGGAGGAGGTGGTGGGGGGAGGAGGGGTGGTGGAGGAGGTGGAGGAGGAGGGAGGGGAGGAGGGGAGGTGGAGGTGGTGGGGAGGAGGAGGAGGAGAGTGGAGAGAGGAGGAGGAGGTGGAGGTGAAGGTGGAGGAGGAGGTGGAGGAGGAGGAGGAGGTGAGGAGGAGGAGGAGGTGGTGGTGAGGAAGAGGAGGAGGAGGAGGTGGAGGAGGTGAAGGTGGAGGAGGAGGAGGAGGTGGTGGTGGAGGAAGAGGAGGAGGAGGAGTGGAGGAGAGGAGGAGGTGAGGTGGAGGAGGAGGTGGAGGAGGTTGAGGAGGAGGAGGTGGTGGTGGAGGAAGAGGAGGAGAGGAGGTGGAGGAGAGGAGGAGGAGGTGGTGGTGGAGGAAGAGGAGGAGGTAGAGGAGGAGGTGAAGATGGAGGAGGAGGTGGAGGAGGTTGAGGAGGAGGAGGTGGTGGTGGTGGAGGAAGAGGAGGTGGAGGAGGTTGAGGAGGAGGAGGAGGTGGAGGTGGAGGAAGAGGAGGTGGAGGAGGAGGTGAAGGAGGAGGTGGAGGAGGAGGAGGAGGTGGTGGAGGAGGGAGGAGAGGAGGAGGTGGTGGAGGAGGAGGTGGTGGAGGAGGGGGTGGAGGAGGTGATGAGGAGGAGGTGGAGGAGGAGGAGGTGGAGGTGGAGGACCCTGGCCTGCACTTAAAAACAATCAGCGCCGACAAAATTACCACCTGCCAGCTGCAAAAGGCCACATGCTTGGATCTGTATGCATTATTCGTTGATACATCACACAGTCCTCGGCACTTGGGAAGTGCCCAACGTGTGCTCAAATAGAAAAGTCAGCATAGTGATCTTTTTGCTGTGTACTAATCTTGTTATGTATCAAATAATAATAATAAGAAGAATAATAATAAGAATAATAATAATGATAAGAATAATAATAGAAGAAACCCTGACCGGAGGGCCTCGTTGTAGATCTCAGCCACGCTGACGGAGATGCGGTACTCCCAGTCCGAGGCCTTGGCCTGCACTTCGGAGAAGAGGAGTTGCAGCGCCCGCTGGTTGATGCCGGGGTTTTCCCGAGTCCCCTGCGGAGAAGAGCAACACGTCCATCATATTGGAAGGGACCTCCAAAGGCCACCCAATCTAACCCCTTTTCTTCCAGAAGCAACCCAAGCCTTCCTGACAGATGGCCAGCCAGACTTTGCTTGGACCCCTCCAAAGAAGGAAGGTGGAGGAAAGACACACTGATACCTCTGGGCTAACCCAGCAACAAAGAGAGCCCTGGAAAGTCAGAATGAGTAGGCCTCAGTAAATGACAGGCTTCAGTCTGAGAGAACCCACAGTGTGAGAAAAGCCTCAGTGTGTTAGCAGGCCTCAGTATGAGTAGGCCTCAGTGTTAGTTCGCCTCAGTAAATGACAGGCTTCAATCTGAGAGAACCCACAGTGTGAGAAAAGCCTCAGTGTGTTAGTAGGCCTCAGTATGAGTAGGCCTCAGTGTTAGTTCGCCTCAGTAAATGACAGGCTTCTGTCTGAGAGAACCCACAGTGTGAGAAAGGCCTCAGTGTGTTAGCAGGCCTCAGTATGAGTAGGCCTCAGTGTTAGTTCGCCTCAGTAAATGACAGGATTCAGTGTGAGAGAACCCACAGAGTGAGAAAGGCCTCAGTGTGTTAGCAGGCCTCAGTATGAGTAGGCCTCAGTGTTAGTTCGCCTCAGTATATGACAGGCTTCAGTCTGAGAGAATCCACAGTGTGAGAAAGGCCTCGGTGTGTTAGCAGGCGTCAGTATGAGTAGGCCTCAGTGTTAGTTCGCCTCATTATACGACAGGCTTCAGTCTGAGAGAACCCACAGTGTGAGAAAGGCCTCAGTGTGTTAGCAGGCCTCAGTATGAGTAGGCCTCAGTGTTAGTTCGCCTCAGTAAATGACAGGCTTCAGTCTGAGAGAACCCACAGTGTGAGAAAGGCCTCAGTGTGTTAGCAGGCCTCAGTATGAGTAGGCCTCAGTGTTAGTTCGCCTCAGTAAATGACAGGCTTCAGTCTGAGAGAACCCACAGTGTGAGAAAGGCCTCAGTGTGTTAGCAGGCCTCAGTATGAGTAGGCCTCAGTGTTAGTTTGCCTCAGTATATGGCAGGCTTCAGTCTGAGAGAACGCACAGTGTGAGAAAGGCCTCGGTGTGTTAGCAGGCGTCAGTATGAGTAGGCCTCAGTGTTAGTTCGCCTCAGTATATGACAGGCTTCAGTCTGAGAGAACCCACAGTGTGAGAAAGGCCTCAGTATGAGTAGGCCTCAGTGTTAGTTTGCCTCAGTATATGGCAGGCTTCAGTCTGAGAGAACGCACAGTGTGAGAAAGGCTTCGGTGTGTTAGCAGGCGTCAGTATGAGTAGGCCTCAGTGTTAGTTCGCCTCAGTATATGACAGGCTTCAGTCTGAGAGAACGCACAGTGTGAGAAAGGCTTCGGTTTGTTAGCAGGCATCAGTATGAGTAGGCCTCAGTGTTAGTTCGCCTCAGTAAATGACAGGCTTCAGTCTGAGAGAATCCACAGTGTGAGAAAGGCCTCAGTATGAGTAGGCCTCAGTGTTAGTTCGCCTCAGTATATGACAGGCTTCAGTCAGGCTTACAAAACATTGTCTCTTGGTATTCTGCAATGCCCACAGAGGCTCCATGAGGCCAAGCCTGGCAATACAACAATGCAAATCTAAGACATCAAAATACAACAATAAAACATAAGAAAATAAGATAAAATAATACTAATAATAATAATCAACTTTATTTATACCCCGCCAGCATCTCCCCAAAGGGGACTCGGGGCAGCTTACATGAGGCCAAGCCCAGCAATACAACAATGCAAATATACAACATAAATAAAAATACAACAATAAAATATAAAATAAAGTGCTTCCGAGGGCATTTCATGCAGGGTTTGGTCAATCAAAGGAAGGAGGAGGAGGAGTCAGGTAGGAAGCTCACCTCCATGGTGTAAGTCTTGCCAGCGCCCGTCTGTCCATAGGCGAAAATGCAGACGTTGTAGCCGTCGATGCAAGACGTGATCAAAGCCTGCACTTCCCGGAAGACCTTTGGGAGAGACACGTTCCTTTCAGCTGCGTTCCTATTCAAAGATGCTTTATTTCGAAAGGATTCTCACCCTAGAGCAGGCCTGGGCCAACTTTGGCCCTCTCTCCAGGTGTTTTGGACTTCAACTCCCACAATTCCTAACAGCTGGATTATAATTGGGTTTATATGTAACTAGCCACCCCCTGCCACGCGTTGCTGTGGCCCAGTCAGTGTATACGTGTTTATGTGTGTGTATATATTTGCGTATATGTGTATAATCATAATAATAAAACTTTATTTATACCCCGCCACCATCTCCCCCAAAGGGGACTCGGGGCGGCTTACATAAGGCCACACCCATCAATACAGTAAACACAATATAAACACAAAAACACAACAACAAAAATCAGAAAATACATAACATAAAATGTATACATATTTGTGTGTGTGTACGTGTGTATATGCTTGTGTATTTCTGTGTTTATATGTGTATATGTATATTGGGTACATGTGTGAGCTTCTGTAGATGCATATATGTATATGTATATGTATATGTGAATGTATGTGTATATGTACATTAGAAAGAACTTCCTGACTGTGAGAGCCGTTCAGCAGTGGAACTCTCTGCCCCGAGGGAGTGTGGTGGAGGCTCCTTCTTTGGAAGCTTTGAAACAGAGGCTGGATGGCCATCTGTCAGGGATGATTTGAATGCAATATTCCTGCTTCTTGGCAGAATGGGGTTGGACTGGATGGCCCAGGAGGTCTCTTCCAACTCTTTGATTCTATGATTCTATGTATATGAGTGTAGGTGTATATGTATATGTGTATATGTGTGTATATATTTGCGTATATATATGTGTGTGTGTGTACATGTGTATATACTTGTGGATTTCTGTATTTATATGTGCACATGTATATTGTGTATATGTGTGTGCTTGTGTATATGCATATAAGTGTGTGTATATGTGTGTGCTTGTGTATATGCATGAGTGTAGGTGTTTATGTATGTGTTTATATGAGTGTATATATTTGCATATATGTGTATATATGTGTGTTTGTGTGTATATATATGTGTGCATATATTTGTGTATTTCTGTGTTTATATGTGTACATGTATATTGTGTATATGTGTGTGCTTGTGTATATGCATATGTGTGTGCATATGTGAATGTATGTGTATATGTATATGAGCGTAGGTGTCTATGTATGTGTGTGCATATGTGAATGTATGTGTATATGTATATGAGCGTAGGTGTCTATGTATGTGTGTATATGTGTTTATGTGTGTGTATATATTTGCGTATATATATATGTGTGTGTACATGTGTATATACTTGTGTATTTCTGTGTTTATATGTGTATATGTATATTTTGTATATATGTATGCTTGTGTATATGCATATATGTGTGAGTATATGTGAATGTATGTGTATATGTATATAAGTGTAGGTGTTTATGTGTGTGTATATATTTGCGTATATGTGTATATATGTGTGTGTGTACGTGTGTATATATTTGTGTATTTCTGTGTTTATGTGTATATTGTGTATATGTATGTGCTTGTGTATATGCTTATATGTGTTTATATGTGTTTATATATGTGAATGTATGTGTATATGTATATGAGTGTAGGTGTATATGTATGTATATGTGTTTGTTTATGTGTATGTATATATTTGTGTATATGTGTATATGTGTGTTTGTGTATGTGTGTATGTATTTGTGTATTTCTGTGTTTATATGTGTACATGTATATTGTGTATATGCGTGTGCTTGTGTATATCCATATATGTGTGTATATGTGTTTATGTGTGTATATATTTGCGTATATGTGTATATATGTGTATAAATGTGTATATGTGTGTGTGTACGTGTGTATATATTTGTGTATTTCTGTGTTTATATGTGCATATACGTGTGTATATGTGAATGTATATGTATATGAGTGTGGGTGTATATGTATGTGTGTATATGTGTTTATTTGTGTGTGCTTGCATATATATGTGTGTCTGGATGTATGTGTGCATGTGTATATGTATATGAATGTATGTGTATATATGTATATATGGTTTATTTTGTGGGGTTTTAAGTCTGTTCTGCTGTTTTTTGTGTGTTTTTAGGAGTGATGGACACTCGTTGGACTATTAGGTGTATTGTGTCAAAATGTCATGTCAATCCATCCAGTGGTTTCTGAGTTACGTTTCTCCCACAAACATTTTTATATATATAGATATCTATATATATCTATATATATGTTTGTTCTGTATGTGAAACACCTATGGTCTAAGCATTAAATAAAATTGATTGATTGATTGATTGATAGGACAACTGGTCACCAGTAGATAGGCCTCTCCGGCCCAAGCCACGCGTCCGCTCCTTGCAAGAGTGGACCCAATCCCAAGGCCGGACTTACGTCTTCTTGTGTCGCTTCCGGGGGGAAGACCTTGTCCAGCTCGAAGGAGACTTCCTTCCCCTTGTGAACGAGGTGGAGGACGGCATCGTCATCGGGATCAAAGGTCACTGCGTTGGCCGCCTCGGGGCCCTCCCCGTCCTCCCTGCTGATGGGCCGGACGCGGCCAAACACTCGGATGTTGCCTTGAGAGGGAGAAAGAGCAGAACCACGTCAGCCTGGAGATGCCTAGCTCCCAAGGGTTCTGTATCTCCTGTGAGGAGTCCTTGGACATGTGGAATTCTGCCGAACCCTGGATACATTTTTGCAGCCCCAAAAACAAATGTGTCTGATGTGGGTATTGAGGTGGGGAAACCAGTCCCCTGTTGCTTCCGATGTGGGGGAGGCTGGGACTGACTCTGAGGTGCAAGATGGAGACACTTTGGTCAATGAGTTTCATGCAGACACTGACAGAGAGGCTTCGGTGCAAAGGGCAGATTCTCATGAGAATGTTTCTCCAGATTCTAGTTTGGAAAATAGTCTGACACCTGCAGTCTGACACCTGCTAAAGTTAATGAAGAATCAGATAAGCAGAGTTGGCAGCTGGAGATGAGCCAGATTTGGCAAGAGGCCCAATGTTTACGTAGATCCGAAAGAATTCATCAATTAAAGTCAAAAACTGGGGGGAAACGAAACCAGTTTTTGGGATTTAAGGTTTGCCTTTAGAAAATCTTGTCAAATCAGGCATCGTTTGGAAACTCCCAAAGACCCCTACTGCCAGGATGTTGGGACTCAGCCTGTGATTGAACCTGTGAATGTGTTTCAGTCTCCTGATGTTTCTGTGTCTAATGTGGGTAATGAGGAGGGAAATCAGTCCCTTGTTGCTTCTGATGTGGGGGATGCGGGGCCTGACTCTGAGGTGCAAGATGGAGGCACTTTGGTCAATGAGTTTCATGCAGACACTGACAGAGAGGCTTCAGTGCAAAGAGCAGATTCTCATGAGAATGTTTCTGTCAGGCCTTGGGAGGAAGGTTTACTCCCTCCGCCTGAGCTCTCCAGATTCTAGTTTGGAAAACAGTCTGGCACCTGGGAAAGTTAATGAGGAGTCAGAGAAGCAGAGTCGGCGGCTGGAGATTAGCCAGAATCGACAAGAGGCCCAATGTTTACGTAGATCTGAAAGAATTTGTCAGTTAAGGTCAAAGACTGGAGGGAAACGAAACCAGTTTTTGGGATTTAAGCATTGCCTTTAGAAAATCTTGTCAGATCAGGCATCGTTTGGAAACCAAAACACAAGCCTCATGGAATTCCTGTTCAAGTGGTCTCGTCTTCATGGTTTTTTTCTAGCCTTTCAACTTGACTAGCAGCGTCTGGTCTGTTCTTGCTTCTTGGTTGATTCCTGTCTGGATTATCAGGGCCTTGGGATATTATTTTATGCTTTTTGAACATTGCTATTGAATGCTATATTTGGACTCTGTTTTCTTCTTCCTGCCTTTGAATGCCTTATTGCTTTTTGGAATCTTATCCATCTTTACAAGCATTTATTTCTACTGGCCTTTTTGCTAAGCTATAATAAAAAGGATTGTTCCTTCACTCAATGTGTGATGTGTTTATAGTCAGAGGGGCCATTTCCTGTTCTGGAATGCAACACAGGGATACTGGGAGCTGGAGTCCAAAACACCTGAAAGGCTACAAGTGTGACACCATAGGAATCTCTAGCAGAGCAGAGTGTGGCATAGCCAGTGCTATGTCTATTCCCGTCCCCCTCTCTCTCTATATATAGATGGCAAGCTCTTTAACCTCCACAGGCTGAAACGCAAAAGTAAGGCCACAACAACTTCTATTATAGAACTCCAATACGTTGATGATATCGTAGTCTGTGCTCATTCAGAGGAAGGCTTCAAATGGACTTGAGACCTAAGACACTACTCTCGTCTTCATTTTTTCGAGCCTTTCAACTTGACTAGCAGCGTCTGGTGTGTTCTTGCTTGATTCCTGTCTGGATTATCAGTGCCTTGGAATATTATTTTATGCTTCTTGAACATTGCTTTTGAATGCTACGATTGGACACTGTCTTCTTCCTGCCTTTAAATGCCTTATTGCTTTTTGGAATCTTATCTATCTTTACAAGCATTTATTTCTACTGGATTTTTTTGCTAAGCTGTAATAGAAAGGATTGTTCCTTCACTCAACGTGTTGTGTGTTTATAGTCAGAGGGGCCACTTCCTGTTCAGAAATAACAACAAGAAGGACCACAACAACACTGTGGTACCGCGAAGCAAAGAGCGCAGAGAGGGGCAGACCTTTCAGCCGCACCAGTTCGTTGTGGCACTTCTTCCGGAGCTGGAGCTCCCGGCGGTATTTCCGCAGCAGCTCCTGGTTCGTGCTGTTCACCTCTTCGATGGCTTGCCCGATCTGCGAGAGAGAAGGCGAAAAGGGTGAGAAGCGGGCGGAGACGCAAACCCTGCATTCCCACCAACACATTGCGACGGCTGCCGGACTGACCTCAGCCTTGGCGCTCTGCAGCGCTTCCTGGAGCAAGACGGGGAAGTCCCGGACCTGCCGCTTCAGGCTGTTGTAGTCACTGGTCAGCGTCCGAAGCGCCGGCTGGAGCGTCAGCAGGTTTGTCCGCACCCCTGGGGAGGAACAGAAGCAGAGAAGCATTCTCAGAAGGGACACACTCCTGTGGGCACTCGCCTCCTCTCCTTCCACAGGAGCCCCAAAAGCACATCTGCGGAAGGCGAGGTCCTGGACCGAAATGGGCAGCAGCCTCGAGGGAAGCTCCTCACCGGCCAGGTTCTCGTGGACGGCTTTCATTTCCACTTGGGCGCGCGAAAAGGCCTCCTCGATGGCCCGGTTCTTGTCCTCCTCCATGTTCTGCATCTCCTCCAGCATCTGTTCGTGGGCCCGCTCCAGCTCAGACTCGTACATCTTCACCTAGACGCGAAGTCACAGGAGGAAGCCAGTTGATGGTCCTTACCTTGAAAGGAGTCGTTCCGCTCCAGAAACATCATTGTTTTTGTGGCTGCCACAAACCATGTGGAATGGGTTGAGACTCAATGATGAGATATTCATCCGAAAACAATTGCAAAATGTGCTGCAGGATGTCCTTCCCGCAACGACAAAGTTTTAATAATAATAATACTTTATTTATACCCCGCCACCATCTCCCCAAGGGACTCGGAGCAGCTTACATGAGGCCGAGCCAAGCAACACATCAAGCTTTTGCAGTTTGATAAACTTTCCCCATGTTTTGATGATAGAACCAATTAGGAAATGACATTGATAAGCCAGGAAGACAAATTGGGTAGTGTTATTTAGAGTTATTTACTAAAATAATATTATCTTGGGTTGCTGTGAGTTTTTTGGGCTGTATGGCCACATCCCAATGTATCTCTGCCTATGAACCCACCAGGACTCTAAGATCTTCTGGGGAGGCCCTGCTCTCGATCCCGCCTGCATCACAAGCACGGCTGGCGAGGACGAGGGACAGGGCCTTCTCTGTGGTGGCCCCTCGGCTGTGGAACCCCTTCCCATGGACATTAGATCAGCCCCTTCGCTAATGGTGTTTCGAAGAAAACTAAAAACCTGGCTGTTTGAACAGGCGTTCGGATAAATAGTGCAATGAACACGATGAATATAGGAAACGGAATTATGGATGACGAATTGGATCACGATTTTAGTTACGAGACGTTAATGTGTTGCTATTGAGATGTCATTAGTTTGTATTTTATACTGTTAATTGGTTTTAATATTGTATGTTGTTGGACTGACTTTTGCTCTTGTTGTGAATCGCGTTGAGTTGCCTACGGGCTGAGAAACTGCAGTATACAAGCAAAGCAAATAAATAAATAAATAAATAAATCCCAGTAGCACTCTCTCCTAACATTTTGCCTGCATCTGTGGTTAATGGCATCTTCAAAGGTTCTTCTGGCAGTGAAGCTAATAGAATGTTGTGAACTTCTGAAGATGCCCTTAGTCACAGATGCAGGTGAAACATCAGGAGAGAATGCACCTGGAACATGGTTATACAGCCCGAAAAACTCACAGCAACCCAGTAATTTGGGTCATGAAAGCCTTCGACAATTATATCTTACTCTACATTGCAAGACTTCAGAGCTGGGTCCAAGGGATGACACCACGTTACACAACTGAGGATCATCTGGAAGTGTTTTGGGCAGAGGACATGACCTTCCCCCCAGAAGGGCTTCTGCCCAGCTCTTTTAGCTGAGTCGACCTCTGCCGCTGCCCATTTGCTGCCCTCCCACCCTCCATCCGTCCATCGTCCGGCTTGTTACCTGCTGCCGGAGCTGAGTGGCCGCCTTCTGGGAGTTCTGCAGCTGCTGCTCCATCTCCTTCAGCACCTGGCGCTGCATCCCCACCTGGTCCTGCAGGTACTGGTTCCGGGACTGGGTCTCGCACAGGGCCTGCTTCGTCTTGGAGGACTCCACTTCCATGGTGCGGATGACGTACTGAGAGGGAGGAAGCTCAGGTCACTCCTGCAACTGACCCTGCACTAAATCCATAGCGTCAAATAATTCTTGATCTCTTAACCTTCTCATTGGAAAAAACTCCCATTAGCACCAAATCCACTTGAAGTGGTATTTTAAATACCTGTACTTACTCGAGTCTAATGCGCACCTCAATTTTCCAAACCCTGAAACGCAAAAAAGTATTTACCATATTACACGACTCTAATGCGCATCCTAATTTTGGGAAGGGACTATGGTCAAAAAAAGGTGTGCGTTAGAATTGGGTAAATACAGTAGTTTTTGTCAGTGTGTGATTCATGTATGATGTGTGTTTAAATGTAATTTTATGTGATAGGATTGTGATTGTAATAGAATTGTATTGCCAGGATGTAGTTTGACACAGAAGGGTTAAACAGAAAAGTAACAAGCTGTGAGAATGTGACCCTGAGTTCTTGCTCTGTGCAAGATTAGGGAGTGCCAGGGATAAACTTCCTTCCAACTGCAGTTTGTATTAGTTCCTATCTCTTTCGCTTTGTGTTCTTCATGTCTGTCCGCTGATGGTGTATGTTGTCTATTTTTGAGCTGCTTAAGTAAAGCTGAAAAACTGCTTTTACCGGAGACTCCAGAATGCATTATTCTGAGCTTCTGCGATATTCTGCTACACGCCAACAGTTTTGTTATTATTATTATTATTATTATTATTATTATTATTATTATGGAGCCCCCAGTGGTACAGTGCGTTAAACTCTTGTACTGGCAGGACAGGTCGCAGGTTCAAATCTGGAGAGAGCTCCCTCTGTCAGCTCCAGCTCCCCATGCAGGGACATGAGAGAAGCCTCCCAAAAAGGATGGTAAAACATCAAAAACATCCAGGCGTCCCCTGGGCAACGTCCTTGCAGAGGGCCAATTCTCTCACACCAGAATAATAATAATAATAATAATAATTAGAAGAAGAAGAAGAAGAAGAAGAAGAAGAAGAAGAAGATGATTTTTTTTCCATGTCAGGAACAACTTGAGAAACTGCAAGTCGCTCCTGACATGGAAAAAATATTATTATTATTATTATCATTATCATCATCATCATCATCATTATTCAAAGCAAAACTAATTATCATTATTCAAAGCAAATTTATTATTATTATTATTATTAATAATAATAATAATAATAATAATATTTTTCCATCAGGAGCAACTTGAGAAACTGCAAGTCGCTCCTGACATGGAAAAAATATTATTATTATTATTATTATCATCATCATCATCATCATCATCATCATCATCATCATCATTATTCAAAGCAAAACTAATTATTATTATTCAAAGCAAATTTATTATTATTATTATTATTATTATTATTATTAATAATAATAATAATATTTTTCCATGTCAGGAGCGACTTGAGAAACTGCAAGTCGCTCCTGACATGGAAAAATTATTATTATTATTATTATTATCATCATCATCATCATCATCATCATTATTCAAAGCAAACTAATTATTATTATTCAAAGCAAATTTATTATTATTATTATTATTATTATTATTATTATTATTATTATTATTAATATTTTTCCATGTCAGGAGCAACTTGAGAAACTGCAAGTCGCTCCTGACATGGAAAAATATTATTATTATTATTAATAATAATAATAATAATAATAATACAACAACATTATAATAATATATACTATTATTCCAAAAAAAAAAAAAAAAGGGGGGACCAAAATATTGAATGGTAGTACTGAAAACATCATTTATCATTAATTATTTAAAACTGAT